AGGTGGTCCCAGGGGGTTCAGAAGTTTTTAGGTGGTCCCAGAGGGTTCCGAAGAAGTTTTTCGGTGGTCCCAGAGGGTTCTGAAGTTTTTAGGAGGTCCCAGAGAGTTCTGAAGAAGTTTTTAGGTGGTCCCAGAGGGTTTTGAAGAAGTTTTTAGGAGGTCCCAGAGGGCTCTGAAGAAGTTTTTAGGTGGTCCCAGAGGGTTCTGAAGAAGTTTTTAGGTGGTCCCAGGGGGCTCTGAAGAAGTTTTTAGGTGGTCCCAGAGGGTTCTGAAGAAGTCTTTAGGTGGTCCCAGAGGGTTCTGAAGAAGTCTTTAGGTGGTCCCAGAGGGTTCTGAAGAAGTTTTTAGGTGGTCCCAGGGGGCTCTGAAGAAGTTTTCAGGCGGTCCCAGAGGGTTTTGAAGAAGTTTTTAGGCGGTCCCAGAGGGTTCAGAAGTTTTTAGGAGGTCCCAGAGGGTTCTGAAGAAGTTTTTAGGTGGTCCCAGAGGGTTCTGAGGAAGTTTTTAGGTGGTCCCAGAGGGTTCTGAAGAAGTTTTTAGGTGGTCCCAGAGGGTTCTGAAGAAGTTTTTAGGTGGTCCCAGAGGGTTCTGAAGAAGTTTTTAGGTGGTCCCAGAGGGTTCTGAAGAAGTTTTTAGGTTATCCAAGATGTTTTAAAGAAGTTTTGAAGTTGTCTGAGATAGTTTTAAAGAAGTTTTAAGTTATCCGAGATGGTTTTAAAGAAGTTTTTAGTCGGAGATGGTTTTTAGGAAGTTTTGAAGTTGTCTGAGAGGGATTTAAAGAAGTTTTGAAGTTATCCCAGATGGTTTTTAAGAAGTTTTGAGGTTGTCCAAGATGGTTTTGAAGAAGTTTTCAGTTGTCTGAGATGGTTTTTAAGAAGTTTTAAGTTGTCCAAGATGAGTTTTAAGAAGTTTTGAGGTTGTCCGGGATGGTTTTGAAGAAGTTTTGAAGTTATTCGAGATGGTTTTTAGGAAGTTTTGAGGTTGTCCAAGATGGTTTTAGGAAGTTTTGAAGTTGTCCGAGATGGTTTTGAAGAAGTTTTAAGTTGTCAAGATGGTTTTTAGGAAGTTTTGAAGTTGTCCAAGGTGGTTTTGAAGAAGTTTTTAAGTTATTCGAGATGGTTTTAGGAAGTTTTGAGGTTGTCCAAGATGGTTTTAGGAAGTTTTTAAGTGGTCCAAGATGGTTTTGAAGAAGTTTTGAGGTTGTCCAAGATGTTTTTACGAAGTTTTTAGGCTGTCCGAGATGGTTTTTAGGAAGTTTTAAGTTGTCTGAGATGAGTTTTAAGAAGTTTTTAAGTTGGTTGAGATGGTTTTAAAGAAGTTTTAAGTTATCAAGATGGTTTTTAGGAAGTTTTGAAGTTCTTTGAGATGGTTTTAAAGAAGTTTTCAGTTGTCTGAGATGGTTTTGAAGAAGTTTTAAGTTGTCCACCATGGTTTTTTTTCCTCTTTCCCTTTTTCCCTGGGAATTCCACGCCGGGGTTGCTGTCTCGTAGCAGGAGATTGATGTCGGAGCAGCTCATAAAAATGAGTTTTTTATGATTTGATGAGGTTTTGTTTTTTCTTTTCCAGATGAGAGGGGTGGGGAGGTGAAAAAAAAAATCACAATAAAATGGTAATTATGGATTTTCCTGGTCCCATCTGGGGGCTGGAGGCTGCGGGCAGGACAAAAAGTGGAATCCTTGGGATAAAACTTTATCCATCACCAGGAAAACCTTGGCTGACCGAGTCTTCAGAAGTCCAAAAGTTTCCTTGGGCATCCTTAATTTTTTTATTAATTTTTAATTATTTTTAATTATTTTCTAATTATATTTAATTATTTATTTATTTAATTTTTTATTTATTTTTATCTTATTTTTTATCTTGTTTTAAAGCTATTTTTCTTTATTTTTTCTTTATTTTTTCTTTATTTTTTCTTTATTTTAATTTATTTTTGTCTTATTTTTAATTTATTTTTAAGTGTTTTGAGTTATTATTTATTTTTTTAATTTAATTATTTATCTTATTTTTATCTTATTTTTTAATCTTATTTTAAAGTTATTTTTTATTTATTTATATTTATTTTTATTTATTCATATTTATTTTTATTTATTTATATATTTTTTTAAAAAACTTATTTAATTTTTTAATTTATTAATTTATTCTCCCCACCCCCCACCCCGAGTTATCAGCCTGAAGTTGCAGAAATAAAAAATAATAATAAAAAAAACCCACCCAAAAACCTAATAATTTAAAAAATAAATAAGAAATAAAGAGGAGATGGAAGCCCTGGACGGGTCCAACCTTCCCGAGGCAACTCCAAAGAGCTTTTGTGACTCCTCTTTTCCCTTTTTCTCCCCAAAATTCCCCCCTCGTCAGCACTTAAGGCTCACAATTAAAGGAGGGCCGATAATTGGGATGGGAAACAAAAGCAACGCTTCCAAAAAAAAGAGGAAAAAAAGAAGAAAACTCAGAAAAAAAAAAAGAAATTGCAGACACCTAAAATTCCTCTCCCTGCCTTCCTCCCACTCTCCGGCCCCTCCTCATCTTTTACTTTTTGTTTTTACCGCCCTAAAATCCCTTTTTTGGCCTCTTTTTGCTGCCGGGAGAGGCGAAAATCGTAAATCTCCCTTGGCGACAGCGGCCCGGCGGTGACGAGTTATTAATACCAGCAATAATAATTATTTTTATTGCCCCAAAACTCCCCGGAGAGCCCTTGAACCTCCCCAAAACCAGGCCTAAAGTTCCTCCGAAGTTACTCCGAGTTGTAACCGCTCCGAGCATCGCGGGTGCTTCACCAAAAAAACCAAAAAAAACCCCAAAAAAACCAAAAAAACACAAAAAAACACAAAAACCAAAAAAAAAACCCAAAAAAACAAAATAAAAAAACCAAAAAAACCCCAAAAAACCCAAAAGAACCCCCAAAAAAACCCCCAAAAAACCCCAAAAAACCAAAAAAAACAAAAAAAAACGAGATTTGGGGTTTATTTTTAATTTTGGGGGTCCCCAGAACAGCTCGGAGAGCGCGGGGAGCATCCCCAGCCTGAGGAAGAGGAAGGCGAAGGCTCATTTGCATAAATTGACGCCTAATTGTTCATCACGTGGATCAAAGGGCGCCGCTGCCGCCCGCAATTAGCGGCGCTTCCCGCCCGCGAAAAAAATACCCAAAAAAAAAATACAAAATCGGGAAAAAAAATGCAAAAATCGGCGTTTTGGGGAGGGAAAAAAATCCTCCCCGCTCTTCCCATCCCCCCNCGGGAGGGGAAGAGGGAGGGAGGGGGGTCACTCCTCGCTTATTGATTGCGTGGATGCTGGATGTGAAAATATATTATGTCTGCCTGTGCTTGGCTCGTCAGAGACTAAGGTAAGCCGGACTCAAATAGGCTATCACTTTGTGAATGGCGGAGTATATGTCCCAATGATTTATGACCATATGACTCCAATCTCGGTTCAAGAAGAGTTCACAAGCTTTAAGCTTCCTTCCACGCAGAGCCGCTTTTGCAGCCCTCACCCCTCTTCTTCCCCCGGCTTGCTTGATTTGTTTTAATTCCGCCGCCTTCGCCCTCTTATTTTTATTTATTTTTTTAAATTTTTTTTTTAATGGATTTTAATTTTTATTTTTTTTTTCCCCGCTTCTCCCCGCGTTTTTGGTTTTTTTTTTTTTTTTAATTTTTTTTTTTCTCGATTTTGTGGGCGCGTGGGGGGAGTTGTTGTTTTGGGGTGGGGGAGGAAGGGAAATTTGGGTGGTTGTGGGGTTTTTTTTTTTTTTCCCAGGCGGATCCACGGCGTTGAGGGTTGGAGCTCGCCGGGAGCTCCCGACCTATTGTTGCGATATTTGGGATTATTAATAATCGCAATTAATCGAGGGCTTCTGCGGCTGGGGGAGATGGAGCTGGAGAGGGGGAGGGGAAGGGGAGAGGCGCTGCTTTTCCCCAGGAACGCGCTCAGGTTGGGAATTTCGGATTTTCCAACATGGAGGGGACGCGATTCCAGCAGAATCCTTCCTTTTATCTCCTTCCCCCCCCAACCCCGAGCGCTTCATTTCTGCTTTTTTACTCATTTTTTATCCCCCTCCCGGAGCATCCTCATCCTCCCCACCGCCCTCTCTCACCTTTCCCCCACCCCCCACGCCCCAATCCGTAATTTACCATTTTTTATTTAATTCCTTTTTATTTTAAAACCCCCAACACCCCAAATTTTGCCCTTCCAAAGTTACGGGCAAAGAGTTTGAGGGGGGGAAAAAAACCAAAAGTGAAACTCGGAGAGGGCCGGGGCAGCTCCCGCCCGCTTTTAATTGGAACAGGAGATCATCGAATATTTATTATTCTGCCCGGGATTTTTTTTTTTTCCCTTTTTTTTTTTTTCCTAAGCAATTCCTTGGAGTAAATAATTAGGATTGCGGCCGTCCCCGGCGAAGATAAATGAGCGGCATTTGTGAGGCGCTGAGAGATGAGGTACAAAGCGAAGCTGTGGAAGCCACGAGCGAGGCGAAGGGGGTCGTAAATTTATTTTATGGACGTTTAAAACAACAAGGACACGAAAAAAAAAAAATACAGAAAAAAAAAACCCCATCGCGGTTATTTTTAGCTGCTTTTGCCCCAGCCTTGGGTTTGGGGTCGTTTTGTTGATTTTTTTAGGGGTTTTTATTTATTTTTTTTTTTAAAGAAAAAAAATAAGAAATATTTTCCAGGCCTTGGAGAAATTCCCACCTCTGCCCCCCCTGGCAGATATTTCCAAACCTATTCATAATAAAGGCGCTGCTGTTTGTTAATTAATTAATTCACGGCTCGGGGAGCGGAGGCCACTTTTTAATAAGACAAATTTATCATGTCCAGGGAGGCGGAGGGGAATAACTCCCAGCCAGGATCTGCGCAGACAATAACGCAGCTCCCAGGAAGATTTTGGGAATGCAGGAAGGATTTTTCCACCAGGATTAAAAAAAAATAAAATTAAGAAAAACCCTCGAGCAGCTCTGAGGGGTGAAGAGAACGGAGCTTTCCACATAAAAACAGCAGCCGGGAAAAGAAGGGAGGAAAAAAAATGTTATTTATTATCGAGCTGAGGCTTCTGTTAAAGCCCCGGCACTTAAAAATATCGCGTTGGGTTTTATCTCCGCGGGGTTTGTTTTGTTTTGCTTTGCAGGATGAAAGAGGCCCAGATAAAATTGAATATACAAGAGGTACAATTAAATATACAATGGATATCAATCCCCAAACAAACGCTCCTTGCGGGCTCCGGGCTGCGGAGAGGAGTCTTTGGCTTTTTTAAAAAAATCCCTCTGATTATTTCCGAGGAGTTTTCACCTTTTTTTGGGGTTTTTTTTGGGGGTGTTTCTACTTTGTCTTTAGGGAGGGGAAAGTTTCCGTTGGGAGAAAAGCAAAAGAGGAAAGAGATGGAGAAAAATAAGAAAAAAAAGAGAATTTTTAAAAAAAAAAAAAAAAGAGGGGAGGTTTCGTTTTGTGATTTTAAGCTTTAGGATGGTTTTTTTTATTTTATTTTAGACTTTTAGAGCTTGGATTGAGGGAGGGAGGAAGGCTGGAAAATCCAAGGGGTGGAAAGTGAGGAGCAAATGGCCTCGTCAAGTGTTTGTTTTCCGAGAGAGAGAGAGAAAAAAAAAAGGAAAATAACAGCAGCGATGGGTTTGGAATCGGCACCATCCCAGTGGCAGCTCTGGATTTGGGATGAGAAACACAAAACCCTGCCGGGAAAATGAAAAAAAAAAAAAAAAAAATTTATTTTCTAAATTCAACCTGTGCTACCAGAGAGAGGGGGAGAGAGACACCCCGAGCAGGGGAAGCACGGTCTTGAATTCTTGTCCCTGCTCCGATCCGCTGGAAATCTCTGCCCTGAATTCCAGAGGCGCTGAGAGTTCCTGCGTAAACAAAAAAAGGGAGCCAAGCGTGCCAGGATGGCGTTACCTGGATTAAAAACACGGATATTCGCTGCTCGCGCCTCAAAACCAAACCCTGGCGGTAAACTTGGGATTTCTGCTGGTGGAAGGATTTTTGGGGGCGTGAGGAGCCGGTTTAAACGGAAATAGCCAGAGTTGAGTGTTCGTGGCCAGCAATTCTGCGCTCCGTGCTGTGATATTTGTGACAATTCGGCTTTTCTCCGGGGCCGGGTGTGTAAACGCGTGTGCGGTTCGCTCCCGCGGGGACGCACGCGGGGATTTCCGCGGGGGGATAAACGCGCCGTAAATAAAACGCACGGAGCCAAACCGAGGTGGGGGTGGAGGGTGACAAAAACCCATCCCAGCCACCCCCAAACTCCTCCAAATCATCCAAACCATCCCCTGCCCCGTTGGCGGAGCCTCAGGAGGGTGAAATCTGCCGGCGGCATCTGTTCCCCCCGTTCCGCGGGACCCCTATTCATGTCACGGGCCTTTCAGGCCCCAAGATGGATTCCTGGGCCGGGCACTATTATTGTGTGTTTTCTCCTAACCTTTCAGGTCAGCTCCCACCAGACAGCTGGAGAGGGGCCGTCACGTGGCCTCGGGGTGCCAATGTTCTGCCAGAGGGGTGTCAAGACCCTGGTAGCCAAAAAAACCCTCGCGGAAGATGCAGAAGGCCTCGTACTACGACAGCTCCACGCTCTTCGGGGGTTACTCCTACGGCGGCGGCGCCAATGGATTCGGCTACGAGGGTGCCCAGCAGCCTTTCCAAGCCGCTTCCCACATGGAGAACGACTTCCAGAGGTCTGCCTGCTCCCTGCAGTCTCTCGGCAACGCTGCCCCGCACGGCAAAAATAAAGAGCTCAACGGGAGCTGCATGCGGCCCGGTTTGGCCCCGGAGACACCGGGCTCACCCAACGCCAACAACGGCAGCGGCGGCGGCGGCAACGGCCAGGCCGGCAGCGGGAAAAGCGCCGCCGGGAAAGCCAATCTCGGAGCCGGCATCTCCAAGCAGATCTTCCCCTGGATGAAGGAGTCGAGGCAGAATTCCAAGCAGAAGAACGGCTCGCCCAGCGCAGGTAGCTCGCCAGGCCTCAGTGACGCGCTCTGCCCTCCCCAGCTCCAAAAGGACGAGGCTAAAAATGGAGAAAAGGATTGATAAACAAGGCCCAAGGATCGCAAAGGGTTGGAGGAATCGGTTTAGGGAAGGTCTAAATTCCCGTTTTTGACCCCAGAATTCCGCAGAGAGGTCTAAGAATCTCAAATGGCTGGAGAAATTGGTTTAGGGAAGGCCCAAATTCCACTTTTCCCACCCAAAATTCCACAGAGAGGCCTAAGAATCATAAAGGGTTGGAGGAATGGGTTTAGGAAAGGTCCAAATTCCCCTTTTTCCCCAAAAAATTCCAAAGAGAGGTCCAAGAATTACAAAGGCTTGGAGAATGGGTTTAGGGGAGGCCCAGATTCCTCTTTTCCAGCCCAGAATTCCACAGAGAGGAAGAAAGAGTTGACGGGTCTGGTTATTTCCCTTGGCCGCTGCTGGCGCGAGGTCTCAGAAGCGCCGGGGTCCCCGGGCAGAGTGGATTTGTTGGGAGGTGAAGGAATCCCAGGTGATCCTGGGAGATTCCAGAGCGGATCCCGGCCCTGGGCACCACCCACCCGCTCCCGGTTTATTTCAAACACAACCACAGAGGGAAACGCGGCCGGGGCGTCGTCCCCAGCCCAGGCTGGACACAAATATGGGGAAAATGCACTCCCAAGGGCTCATCCCAATCCTAAAATTCCGCTCGGTGCCTTCCCACCCCTCAGAGAGAGCAGATGAGGCACCACGTCCGTCTTCTCCACGTGTCCCACCAGTCCAAGCAGATAAAACCCAAAAATCCAGCCCGGATTTACGGAAATTTTGGCAAATCCATTCTCACAAACCTGGTGGTGAACTCTTTACCCACCGCGGACGTAATTCATGGTGTTTACCTCTGGGAAAAGTGGGTGCGGAGGCAAATATTGGTGCTGCACCTGTGTGCAAACCAAACCCTTCTCAACCCCGTGTTAATTGGCCCTGCGCTAATTGGCCCCGCGGCGGTGGCCACCTCCCCTCCCACCCCATCCCGCCAAACGTTATTTTCTGGGAAATTATCCGCTGGAAATAATCGAGCCCTCAATAAATGGCCCTGGAATCCTCTTCTACATGACATGATCAAATTTTCATAAAGCAGGGGCAGCTTTGGAGAACAGAACTCTTAATAAATGACACGATTATGGAGTGCAGGCTAATGTGGAGGGGCGGGCGG